CTCTCTCTTGCGTTCCAGGGCTTACTCCCTCGTGGATTCTAGTCAAGTATCTACGTTCCTAATTTCCATTCTTCTCATTGTTTACGGCAGCTTCAGGTAAGGTCGTTGGCTTTTGTGTATTGCCACTCCCCCCGCCCCCCCCCAGCAAGTCACAGACTGCTGAATGTATATTGGTGCTGTTTTCCTGAAATGCGTAGTTGCAAAGCAGGCCAGAGCTGGAGAGCAGGTCACTTAACATGCTACTTGTTCCTGAAAGCTTTCATGGAAGGTATGAAAAAAAGGTTAAGTGAAGAAACAATTACTTTGATTGTGACTTGCGAAAACATTATTTAAAGGTGAAAATTAAAGCATTTGTCAATTTATTCTTCTTAAGGCTCACCTTAATCCAACTTGCAATAAAAAGTTGTAATCTGGCTCTTCTATCTGGAACATTCAAGATAATTCAAGGAAAGAGTAACGCGTTCCTTGAATTTCTAAATAAAAAAATAAGCAAAAACTCCAGAGCTGTTACAGAAGACTGAGAAATCTAAAAATAAAACAAGTATTGTGCAGTTGCTGCTCTTCTTCAGTGTGGTTTTTGTTAAATTCACAGAGATTAGATTCTTCTTTGAGGAAGAATTGAAATGTTTTAAAATTATCATCTGTGATCTACTGAAGCTTACAGAAAAGAGAGAGAGAGATTATTGATTGATTAGTCTTATGACCATATTTTAAAAAAATAAAAATAAAGGTAAAATTCAAGGTATGTCTCCAATATAAAATAGATAAAAGAAAACACAGTAATAAAATACATATGTGCTAAATACAAAGAATCAACATTCAGATAAATAGATCGCCTTTACATGATACCCCAATCTGTTTGATATAACGGATTCTTAGCTGAACTGCCTTGTCTATAAACTTAGCAGTTCTGCTAACAATGTATATGTTAGAAACCAGGGGAAATAAGACAATCTGCGATTCAGGTCCCTGGGCTGTTCTTTCAAGTGGGGATTTTAAATATCTAAGCCTAAAAGAGGCATGAGGTGGACAATAAAATAAAAGATGAGCAATATCTTTGATGGCTGGGGCACCCCATTTACATGTCCTCTCATGGTATGGCAAGTGATGGAAGCGCCCGTATTTGGCCACGGAATCCAACAGCTCAAATCTTGGTCTAGATTAGGCCCTTCTTAAGAATTGCATCAAACTCTTTGACAGTTTTTTTTCGGTTTGGAAAGGGGTTTTGTTCTTAGCCAACCAATATAAAAATCTATTTTTTTGCCAATAACTCAATGTCTGTTTGGGACTCTCTGTTTAAAATTGTCTTTGCCTGGGAGGCAGTTGAGAATAAATATTGGGTGGAAAACCCATGCTGTAAAATAACTTTAGTAAGTCGGCTTACCCAGGAAGTGGGTTGAGCCATACTTATCTGTTCAGCTAAACCTATTTTGGGTAGCCTATCAGGGTCCATTGAATGGATCCTCTGCCAATAGGTAAAACCTTTGATTGTTGAGTGGCTGTGTATGGTGTGAATACCTGTTTCTGCTCTGACTGCAGGGGCTGCGTGTTCTTGTCAGTTCCCAGTATGTTTCTTAAAAAACAGGTCTGAACTTGTTCAAGTGAGGTAGCTTTTGTAAGGCCCCACAATTCTGTGCCATAGATCAGTATTGGGACTGTTTTTCCCCAAATACTTTCAATAAGGGGGTCAGGGTACCTGGGTAATTGTAATTAAATAATTTATATAATTTTTGGTACTTGCTTCAACCTTCACTGAGCTTCTTTTAAGATGATTTGCCCATGACTCTGTGTTGGTAAAGTTGACTCTGTTGAATTTCCTTGTTCAACAGACTCTCCATCTAGCTGCCAGTTATATTTTATGCTTTTTTTTTGCTAAGTACCATCACCAAAAACAAGAAGAACAGATGCTGCTTCCTGTAGTTCTAGGTATTCTACTTCAAACTCCTTTCAAGTGAGTGAAAGGGAAGTGGAAATACTTGGAGTCCCCAATAACAGCCCAAACATTTGGAGTAGAGAGTGAAAGTTTAGTTGAAACATTCAAATCGATATCATCGACACCTAGATGGATAGGTGCCTATAGCATTTTGGATACAAGTAAGAGCTTACTTGCAAAGAAAGATGGGTGCTGGATTGGGCAATGTACTGGAATTCAGAGCAAGACCAGGGAAAGAGTTCTTGCCATCTCCCTTCTGAAGGAACCGAAAGGAACAAAAATGGGTGAGGGAAGCAGTAGATCATCTACAGCACTGGAAACTCTGCAATAGGACAGGTGCTGACTATGGAAAGGAACTCTGCTCTGTTCCTTTCATGGTGCTGAAGAAGAATTGGGCTTGGAGAGCTGTACTGAAACTCAAGCCCATGAACAACTTTGTAGACATTTATAGTGTGGCAGCTTGGTCAGTATCTTTTACCTTCATGAAACGTTAGAGAAGATCACATCCAGGGGTTGTCTGATTTGATTTGATACTAAATGTTAATGATAAACTGCAGTTTAGGAGCAAAATTCAATGGTGTGGCTGTTAATTTGGCCAAATATTTAGAGTAACTTCAGATGCCTCTTCAAATATTTTATGAATCTGGATAGGTGGGCACTAGATCTGATGAAAATCTTATTGGATTCCAGTACCTGTCTGTTAAGAGGTTGTTGTCCCACCATCTGAGATAAGCTTGTTTTGCAAGTGGTCTGAGAAAAAGCATGCTTTTTATTAAAGTTGCTCAGCTACAGAATGATCTCCCTGGGAATGTATAGCTGATCCTAACTGAATCTAGAAACTGAAACTTGAAACTGGCCTTATATTGATTTTATAAGCTGATATTATTAATAATGTTTTAATATATTTTAGTTTATTGTTTTGCTTCCCTTTTCTGTACAATGAACCTAGAAAAATGTCTTCAAAAAGTTACAAATCTTAAATAAAAACAAAAATAACTCTTGTGCATAAGGATTTTTTAATGAATGATGCTGCTAGGTTAGATTCTGGGATTGCTAGCATTTACACTGCTAGTATTTCATACTTTTCTGCATAACTGATTTTTGTTATTGCATTTACTATTTTATTTTTGTAAGGCAATTGGAATATTCTGCCAAAAAGCGAGTATGAATTAAGAAACAGATGTTTTGACTGCACAGACGTTCCATTCAGGGATATCAAAGCTGTGAACAGTTATGCCCCTTCCAGATGGGAAGCAGATATTTTGCACGTGTTTGTTTTCTGCAGGTCCCTGAACATGGACTTTGAGAATCAAGACAAGGAAAAGGACAGTAGCAGCTCGGCAGGGTCCTTCAATGGCAGCAGCACCAATAACAGTAAGGCAGAAAGCCGACTTTCGGCAGGGAAGACAACAGGATAGCAAGTTCCTTTTTGGGGGTAGACTGCAATTAGCACGAGCCACTTCCCACAACAGGCTAATCCAGCTCTCTGTGTGGCCCCATGGAAAGAAATGAGAGCTGGGTGTCCTTTCTGCAAAAAAGGGATGTTGAAAAATCTTCCGTTACTGGACTTTCCCAATGGGAATTAAAGATAGGTTCCACCCCAAGGTATTTTTTGACTACAACCAATCTTTTCAGTTGGGTTAGGAGGTCTTCGGCCTTTTTTCAAGGACCCCTCCATTCTGCCCAGCTCTACGAAAAAGTATGTAAAAAAGGAAAGTGCTTTAGAATTTCTTGTCCAAAGTGAGAAGCACAGAACATGGTTTTATGCAATATCATAAGACAAGAAGTAGCTCAGTAAGACATTTCTTTTTAAATAGTGCTGGCGTACAGGAAGATATAAGAATGAGGTTATTTAGGAAAAGGGGAAAATTAAAAAAAGGGAGGGCAACAGTCATAAATTCCAAATAAAATGTTAGAAGTAAAATTAGTTGATGGCTCATCATGTTATTATTTACTTGTGTAAGTTTCAGAACAGCATCTGCAGAAGCAACTGCAGTGAAAACAAGTCTCAGAAGCTCCTGATTAGATGTTTTTAGGAGGATCTAGACTGTGAGTTAAGTCCTCTGGGATTGTGAGATCAGTGAAAGCTTATCTCTTAGTGGGGAGAGTAACTCGTTTGTCCAGTGGCATTCTGTCATCTGTTTCTGGTGTTAGTGGTCTAGACAGTAAATCTTAAAATTATTGCATGGTGGGAGCTGAAGATGAAAAAGGGGAGGATTTAAAGAGGGTGTCACGATTCAATCTATTCCATTCTATTCAATTATTTGAAGTCCCTGCTTATTTTTATTCTAATCTGTTAACTGGTAATGTTGTAGTTTTAATGTTTTTATTTAAAATTCTATTTAAAAAATTAAAACTCACCTGTAATGAATGACACAATTTAGGTGCATGTTGGGGATTAAAAAAAAAAAAAAGATTTGACCTACTCAAATTACCTAGCATGAAAAAGAAATGTAAAACTTAATATCAAGATTTTGCAAATCTTTTACTATCTTTCCTTGTAATAATTAGATTTGCCCTGCACTAATAGGATCAACCTAGAATTAAGCATTAGGATCAACCTAGAATTAAGCATTAGGATCAACCTAGAATTAAGCATTAGGATCAACCTAGAATTAAGCATTCCTAGTGTATGTTAATAACAATTATTTCATTTTGAAATAGCAATTCTGTTGTCCATAAAATATAGGTGAAATATTTTAAGAAAATTAATCTGATCTTGGAAGCTATAAGTAGTATAAGTTTATACAAGTAGTATAAGCTATAAGTGCATCTTTTCTTGGAAGGAAGGCCTATGAAATGTAATGGGGTTCTTTCCATTTTTAATATTTTTAAGTTTGCAGGTTAAGAGATGTTGGTGATATATAAATAAGTTAGTGCAAGTATTAAACTGTCTCCTAATGGGCTGTGAGTTTTTATTTTTTTAATTATTAGAATTTTAAATAAAAGCATTGGAACTACATTACCAATCAGCAGATTAGCATAAAAATAATCAGGGACTTCAAATAACTGAATAGAGTAGAATAGATTGAATCGTGACGCCCTCTTTAAATCCTCCCCTTCAAAATGATCATTCATCTTCAGCTCCCCAAATCCACATTATTGTTGAGGACAAGTGTCTTTTAATTGATTCTGAATTTGTATCAAAATGAATAAAATCTTCCCAGGTTGTATTAAAATAGATGTTTTGTCTGATACTCTATACTTTATGTATTGTATCCATGATTTTTTCTATTTCTAATAATTTAGAGTACCAGTGGCCTAAAGTTGGAATACTGGTCTCTTTCCCTTTGGGGACTGTAACAGTGGGCTCTGATTTTGATAGCAATTGCATCTCTTCTTTCTCACCCCCCCCTCAACACTTGCTATTTGCATTTCAAAAAACACATGCTTCTAGTTTGTCACTTCAGTTTGATTTGTATGTGTGCCACCAAGACCCTAGAGGCTGATGCTGTTCTATACATGGATATTGTGTGATGCCAAAGACTCACGGCCTCTCTTTCTTCTACCCTGTAGGTATCCAGACCATTGACTCGACACAGGCACTCTTCCTACCCATTGGGGCATCCGTGTCTCTCCTGGTTATGTTCTTCTTCTTTGACTCAGTTCAGGTGGTTTTTACAATATGCACAGCAGGTGAGGGCTCATCCTGGAAACAGAGCTGTCTTTGTGGGTGGTTGTCTCAAGCAGGGGTTTTCAGACTTTTTCATGCCGCAGAAACTATTAGCTGAGAACTGATTTTCTGGAAACCCTGATCAAGAAGTACAGCATTAGTGATATAAATTGGCTGTATTTGAGTAAACTCTTCTTATTTTTATAAATAACTCAAGGTGGCGACCATACCTAAGACTCCTTCCTCCTCCTATTTTCCCCATAGCAACAACCCTGTGGGGTGAGTTGGGCTGAGAAGAGTGGGACTGGCCCAAAGTCACCCAGCCGGCTTTCCTGTCTTAAGGCAGGACTAGAACTTGCTGTCCCCTGCTTTCTAACCAAACTGTCTCTCTTTGCCCTTATGTCACTCAGAGAATCTTAAGGTTCCATGGAACAGTTTGAAAAACCTAGTCTAAAGTTTGGCAAAAGTCTGTTCAGCCTTGTATGTGTATCCAAGAGGACTGAATAAATGTATTTATGTTATAAACCCCAGCCAGCATGGCCAGTAGTCAGTTGCATACTGGGAGTTGCAGCATGAAATATTTGGGCAGAACCAAATTGTCAGCCCTTGTGTTTGGGTAATACTGAACAGAACAATACTAACCCCCCCACCAGTGCCTGATCTGATCTATTTCTGCTGATTTTGTGTTTATTATACTTCTGATGTTTTTATGCAGCTTTTTATAAATTACATTGATTAATTCTGTTTTACCTTTTTACTGTAGTAATGTTTTTTTTGTAACCACCATGAAATTGAAGGGTGGGTATAAACCTCTAGAATAAAACAAAATGAAATAAATAACAGTAAAACATAATCTGCTGGGAAGCTCTTTTTCCAAAACTATATTTAAGCAATTAGAAACCCAGCAACAGCCCCAGGTGCCTATTTCTTTCACTGGGGCTGCAGAGGAGAACTTGGAGGGCTAGAGTCAAAATGTGCTGACAGCATCTATCTATCTATCTTTCTATCTATCTTTCTATCTATCTTTCTATCTATCTTTCTATCTATCTTTCTATCTATCTTTCTATCTATCTTTCTATCTATCTTTCTATCTATCTTTCTATCTATCTTTCTATCTATCTTTCTATCTATCTTTCTATCTATCTTTCTATCTATCTTTCTATCTATCTTTCTATCTATCTTTCTATCTTTCTATCTATCTTGTCCCCACCCATCTCCCCCAATGCGGGGGACTCTGGGTGGCTCAGAACATATTAAAACAATAAATAAATATACAATTAAAATTTATAACAGGACATCATGTTTAGCATTGCTAAACTTCTCCAGCTGCGTATTAATGACTGCACATCTGCGTGCTGAAACTTGGGCCCAATATAAGAACACAGCCTCTAGTATAGGAGGGACAATTTTCTGAGTTCTGCCAAACATCACACGTGGTTCTCCCTTTAAGAAAATATTTGTTTCATGATGCTAATATATTTGAGAGCAAATATCGAGGGTACCAATATCCTCCATCAAAAAGTAGGACTCTTTAAAAACTAAATGTGCCATCTCTGAGTTAGTTGTGGGTATTCGCTTTTCTTGGGTTGCACTGATGTTTTTGCACTTCTGTGGTAATGGCATTTTTTCTCTTTCTGTTTCTCTTTAGTCCTTGCAACAATAGCCTTTGCTTTCCTCCTGCTCCCGATGTGCCAGTATTTAACACGACCTTGTTCACCTCAAAACAAGTAAGGAGTTAAGGAATTTTGTTTGACTTCTGTGTAGTTAAGAGATCCTGTGGTTGCTTCAACAAGATGGCATTGTTACGCTGGTAATGAAGTGACTTGGCAATGAGTTCTGCAGGGGCTTTTCATGCTTCTTCTGTGTGTGGAGATGGTACCATGCGCTATCTTTCAAAAGGGAGCTTTTTTTGGTATCAGACAAGGAAACCCAGACTTTCTTTTCCCTGGTAATGTAGGACACTGCTGGTGGGCAAATAATACTGAAACAAACAGAACTATAATCTATCTACCTACAGGTAGACCTTGACTTAACAACCACAATTGGGACCGGAACTTCCATTGCTAAGTGATGTTGTTGTTAAGTGAGTCAGGCCTAATTTTACAACCTTTTTGCTGCAGCTGTTAAGCAAATCACACGGTTGTTAAGCGAATCTGGCTTCCCCCATTGACTTTGCTTGTCAGAAGCCCCCTGGGAAGGTTGCAAATGGTGATCACATGACCCCAGGATGCTGCAACCTTTGTAAATACATGCTGGTTGCCAAGTGCCTAAATTTTGGTCACGTGGCCATGGGGATGCTGGAGTAGTCATAAGTGCGAAGACCAGTTGTAAATCATGTTTTTCAATGCTGTCGTAACTTCAGTCATTAAATGAATGGTGCAAGTTGAGGACTACTACTCTCTCTCTCCCGCTCTCTCTCCACCCACCTACCCATCCATCAACCCACCCATCCATCCATCCATCCATGGTGGCCCAATCTTACAACATTGTTATGGAGAAGAATTTTTATAAAACAATCTTACAATATAACAGCATAAGTAAAAATAGTTAACTACTTGAATAAAAAATGGCCACCCTCCTCCTCTAGACATCAAAAGTATTAAAGGCCCACTTAAAAAGGAAGGGTTTCAGGAGTTTCCTGGAGTCCAGGGGAAAGATGAACAATTCCCAGGGGCACATATTCAGTCGTGTTGGGGCCACAACCCAAAAGCCCATCTTCTGGTCCATTCCTGCTTTATTTCACAAGCAGGTGGCACCCTGAACAAACCCTCTCCTTGTGATGGGGCATCTTTTAGTTGCCATGCCTTTAGGGAGAGAATAACTACTACAGTTTTACACAATTATTTAGCACCGGCTTTTCAATTTAGGAAAAATACCCCAGTATACATGACCGACTGGATCAGTGCACTCTCCTGAAATGGTTCTCTTCATGAATAGAAGACCACCCTGAAGTGGGAGATGTATGACAGATTCCCTGGCCCTGTTTATAAGACTATTCCCAAGATTGCTGCAAGCTGATAAAATTCTCTTCCACCTACAACAGAAGGCTCAGTGATAGAATCTTTGAAATAACTCTTTCATTTGGAAAGGAAATTAAGCCCTCTCTCTTAGTAATGGCCAAGGAGAAGCTGTTGAACATGCTCTCCTCATGTGTACACATAATGGAGACAGCCCTTATTCATTCATTACTTGTAAAGTTAACAGGCTGTACAAACCAGTTCTGTATCCATATTTTTGGATGATAATTCTTTCATTACTTATAATGTAGCCAACTGTGGCAGTGTATAAAATACAGCACGAATTGATATCCAGTTAATGTTAATTGGACTAGAAATTCTGTTTTTAAATTTTGATCTTAGCAGCTAAGCTCTGTGACTCTGTTGTTTTAAGTCTTTTTTAATTTTTAAATTTGGTTACACATTATCTAAGTTAAAGTCATATGATTTTCATAAATTTTATAGAGGCTTACAGATTTTAGAATTCTAGATTTGTTTATAGTTATTTTATAGTATCAATATTATAGTAGTATATAGATTTTAGATTCATAGTTATTCACTTGAACTTTGTAGTTTATGGATTGTAGTCTCATAGGTATTTTATGGCAAATATATTTTATATTATTAACACCTAGCTCAGTGGGTACAACATCGGTTTTGTGATTAATTTTGTATTGTTTATTTTATATCTGGTTGAAAACTGAAATAATTCAAGACAACTGAAATAGAAAAGGGCACTTCAGTTTATCCTTACAAATTGCTCTAGTCATTTTAATAGCTTCGCTGCGGGTTTTTATTGTACTTTGTTTTAGACTGAAAGTATGGCATCGTTGTCCTGTCATATTTATTACATGCCTTCTACTACATGGCTAGTTTCTGAAAGGCAGAAATCTAGTGGCTGATTTGAGAAGAGTTTTGGTGTTCCCTTTAGCGCTTTTTTGGGGACAGATCTTTGGTCACCTTGACAGCTTTCTTGTGCTCTGGTGCCCTCGAAGTCCATCCAAGGGAGAGTTGGAGGTGTTTTCTCTCGTCCTGCTTGAACTTGTGGTGATCTTTTCCAGGATTTCCTTTGGCTGCTGTGGGCGTTTCACCGCTGCTGAGCTGCTCTCCTTCTCTCTCTCTGTGATGCTCGTCCTCATCTGGGTCTTAACTGGGCACTGGCTTCTCATGGATGGTAAGTGCAGCATGTATAAAGTGGGTTGCTTGAGAAGGATCAAACCTTCCTGAATTTTTTTCCCAGAGGGCCTCACCTTTCCCATGGAGTGGTGTATTCCATATGGCATTCGTTCCTGAATTGGAATAAAGTAATTGGGTTCAAAGAACTTCACAATCTCTGCACACATCCACCTTCACTTGATTTGTTTGTTTGTTCTACGTTAGCTGTAATGGGGTCATCTAGATCTCAACCTCGGCAGCTTTTAAGATATGTGGACTTCAACTCCCAGAAGTCCCTGGCTACTTGTCTCATTCTCAAAGTATTTCAAACACAGACCTGTTCTGTTTCAAGTCTGAGACACACCATCGGAGACACACTATTCTGAACTCAAAACGCTTGCAAATTGATCAAAAAAGGATATTTTGAATCTGAAACAATTCAGATACTGAGTATGGGTACAACCCTTGGACTACTTGATGCAGAGGAGCAGCCAGAATCTCCTCCTGAAAGCTGCCTGCTGAGCCTTTGCTTCAGTCACAGTTCAGAGTGCAGAAAATGCCCTTCTAGCTCATACAAAAGAAGTAGCTGTGCTTGTGGTACACTGCCTTCATTCTTCACTTTCAGAATAGATTTTGGATGCTGAAATTCTGAAGATTCTGAAAGCCGAGCCGTGCCTACATTTTGGATGCAGAAAAAGGCACGGCTCGGCTTTCAGAAATTTGGAGAAGACTGTGATACGGCATTTTTCATCTAAACTCCTGTAGCTGAACCAAGCACTTAGTGACTTTGTGTTGGTTTGGATTTCTAGCTAGTTATGACTTAACCTTGTGTATAAGTGTTATCCTGGTTACCTGTAGGCAAGTGAGTCTTCTTTTGACCCAACATAAGGAATAAATGGACACAATGGAAAGACAGTTCTCCATCCCTCATCCATCTTATCTCAGCTGGCTAGTAAATTTGTTTCTATAGGCAAATAGTTTGGGAGGGCTTATTTTTGATGCTGGTGTAACATTCTGACATTAAAATAACCCCTGGAGACCAGTCGCCTAATGTGAAGAAGCGTAGCATGCTTCTGTATTCCTTTGGGGGTTGGTTCTTTATCTGCTCTTTGGCCTGGTTGGTTCTTTCATCAGAGAATAAGAATTTCAGGCATTGAGAGCAGCCCCCTTTTTTCTGGGTAAATACTGCTGTTTTATTGTACACTTTTATCCCATCTGATACCCACGTGGTGTGATGAACCCCTCAGGGCCTGGACTTGCTTGATGCAACAAGGACCAGCTGTGAGTGGAAAGCGGCTCCAGCACATTCAGTGAAGCACTATCTCTAAATGAACATCTATAATATTGTAGAATCATAGAGCATAAGGGTTGGGTGGGACCTTGGAGATCATCTAGTTCAACTGGCTGCCCATGCAGTCATCCACTGCTACAGCATCCCCAGCAGGTGTCCTTCCAGCCTGTGTTTAAACATCTCCAGCAAAGGAAAGTCCATCACATCTCAAGGCAGTCCATTCCATTGTTAAACACTAT